GTTATAACTTGACAGACATAACACACATATGTTTTTTGTATTGTGTGTTATTTGTTTTTGTCTTTCAGTAAAAAATTCAGTTCAAACTGGTTAGGCTGGCTAGACTATAAGCGGTCTAGACTGTAAATGAAAAAAGTGTGACGTCATAATCACATTGTATTTATACAGTGGATGACGTCACAATGCATAAGGTAAGTTTTTGCACACGGCACTTTACAGAGGATGCAAACAGGTATATATAAGAAAACACAGGTAAAAGGTATATTTCTTTTGCACACGACCCTCAGTTTTTTGCACACGGCACTTTATAGAGGATGCAAACAGGTAAATATAAGAAAACGTAGGTAAAACGTATTGATGCACAGGGCCCTTACAGTAAAGGTATATAAACCAGAGCTGGACATCGACGATCATTCTTCGTTAGCATTCTGAATTCAACACAGGTAAAATATGGCAGAGGAAAATACAAAGGAGACCGTACCAGAAACACAGGATCTTTTAGACGTAGATGACAGGAGAATGATATGCGGTATCTTAAATCAAATGGCCTTTATCATGCAGATAATTCATAATGATATAGGTGATTTTAGAAAAGAAGTGATGGAAAAGATTCGCCAACAAGGAAGGAAGACACACCAGTTAGTGAAAGAAATACAAAAACTGGAAAAAAAGCATCAAGAACCCAAGATTTCAGGGACCCACCAGACCAAACCTTTAGTGAAAGAAGGAGACAAAAAAGAGAAAAAGGAAGAAAACAGAGAGATTCCAGGCCCCAGCACTACTCACAAGAGGAAACTATCCCTGACCACTGATAAGGGACAGAAGAAGAAGAAACAGAAAATGTAAATTGTATGTATATTTTCACTTGAATAAAATCTGTGTTCTAATCTGTCTTGTTTTCAGTAAAACCAGTTCAAGCCGGTTAGGCTAGACTGTCTAGACTGTGAATGCGTGACGTCATAATCACATTCTTGAAATGTTTTTTGCACACGGCGCATTTTTTACCTGTATAGTCAGCATAAAAACAAAAAAAAAAGTAGTACCTACGTACCCATGTAAACACAGTGTAAGCACCCCGTATTTAGGGGATAGGATAGGTTAGGGTTAAAAAAGGGATTAGGGTTAGTTAGGGTTAGGGTTAGTTAGGGTTAGGGGACTAGGGTTAGTTAGGGTTAGGGTTAGGGCTAGGGTTAGGGTTAGGGTTAGGTTAGGGTTAGGGTTAAGGGGCTAGGGTTAGGGTTAGGGGGCTAGGGTTAGTTAGGGTTAGGACTGCACTCAGTTGACCCCCCTTTCCCCTCAACCAATCAAATCACGTGATTTTCTCTCAGCCAATCAGAATCTTCCGCGCTAGCGGGGAGGCTTATACTACTGATATCAATATCTTTTACCCTTTGACCTTGACCTTGGAGTTTTAACTACTTAATAAAACTTTAAGCTTGGTCACAACTTTTAAACAGTAGATACTATGACTTTTATATTTCACATATGTATTGTTTGTGGCAAGACATTTCATTGGATACCAACAACCTTGACCTTTTGACCTTGACCTTGGAGATTTACGTACTTATGAAAAAACTTTAACCTTGACCACAACCTTCAAAAGAAATCAACTTCAATGTTACTTGCTAAATAAATGACATATGATAGGATGTTCATATATTATTAAACACAATATGTCATAAAAAATAGCATCTCACCCACAAAGACACCGAAAGCGGGGGACCACAATTCTTTGAATTTGCTTGTTTTAAGCTTGCCCTTTAGATATTGGAGCCTTCAAGTGGCTACATCATCCTATTGACTAAAATCCAGCAATATGAAATTGTAAAATATTTATTCTATAATTCTATAATGTACGCGTACATGAATCAAATTGAGCATAAATTAAATACATTGAGCATGTGGAGTCTTATGATTCTAATGAATTAATTTCCAAAATGAAAATTTTGAGAGAAAAAATATTGCACATTTAAATAACAACACCTGGATATTTTTTTCAAAACTCCGAAACCTAAATGCACGTCTTCAGGTCTAAATGAAATGAAAACGCAATGGCATAAACAGGTCCTGTTGAAAAGTAAGAAGAAGAAAAATAATAGACGGAGAAATCGATCGAAGGATGGGGATAGTAAAATCTTGGATTGTGGAAGTAAAATGGGTACATGCTGCAACCGTTTAGCTTAATTGGAGTGGATGAATGAATTGTAGTACATTAGTATCAGTATACAAATATCGATGGATTAAGAAGATAACGAATAGCAATCATACTCAAAGCCAGGTCCATTGAATCAATACACAGGAAAGATTCCAGACGACTGGCGACGGGCAAGTATTGTTCCAATTTTCAAGAATGGGGACAAACATCTAGCTTCGAACTGTCGACCTGTATCATTAACATCTATCCCTTGTAAACTACTGGAACACATTATACATAGCCAAGTCATGGACCATCTAGATGAGAATTCCATCCTCTCCAACAGTCAACATGGATTCCGCTCTAAGCGTTCCTGTGAAACTCAGGTGGTGTCCACCATAAACAATCTAGCCCAGAATCTAGGAGAAAAAGGTCAAGTAGACATTATCCTGCTTGACGTTTCTAAAGCCTTCGATAAGCCCCCCCCCCCCCAACCAGCGACTAGCTCATAAGCTAAATTACTACGGGGTACGAGGCACCACTCTCCAATGGATTAGAGACTTCCTATCAGATAGGACACAGCAAGTACTTCTAGAGGGCCATACTTCCTCAACTGCACCAGTGGTGTCAGGAGTGCCACAAGGGACAGTCCTAGGACCTTTACTGTACCTCCTCTACATTAACGACCTACCTGAAAGGACGCTGTCAGATACTGGCCTTTCTGCAGATGATTGCCTCCTGTGCAGACTCATTACAAATAAGGATGATGCAGTTACCTTACAGAAGGATCTTGATTCTCTGACCAGATGGGAGGAGGACTGGCAGATGGCATTCCACCCATAAAAATGTTTAGTACATGTAATACAAATTACCAACAAGCGGAAACCCATCACCGCTACTTACTCTATACACGGGCACCTCCTAGATGTGGTTGATTCCAGCAAATACCTTGGAGTCACCATCAGTAAAGATCTACGATGGGACAACCACATAAATAACATCACATCCAGAGCCAACATGACACTGGGCTTCATCAGGTGGAATATGAGGGGATGTCGAACATCTGCAAGATCTGCAGTATACCAGGGACTAGTTCGACTAATCCTAGAATATGCCTGTGCAGCATGGGATCCCTGGAGCTTCAAGCAAGTCCAACAGCTTGAGAAAGTGCAAAGAAGAGCAGCAAGATTTGCCACCAAGAATTATCATGACTACCATCCTGGCAGCGTTACCCAGATGCTTCAAGATCTGCACTGAGAACCATTACAAACAAGAAGAATGAAGATAGAACTCATCCTGCTCTACAAGATCGAGCATACCTTGGTGGCTATTCCTGCAGATATGTACCTGATATCCAGTGACAGAAGGACTAGAGGCAGCTACACGTACCGTCTACCACACACCCGGATTGATGCACATCGATATTCCTTCTCTCCGAGGACAATCCTAGACTGGAACAACTTACCATCTGTAGTTGCCTCAGCACCAACATTAGAGTCCTTCCGGACACAGCTGGACTCATATACGAGGTGCCAGCTGCCCACAAACAACAACTAAGTGTGCCAGTTTTTAACTTTTTATTGTACATAGCCCTGATCGGGTTTTTAGCCTTGTCCGTTGCGTGTGACAGTCCGAGTACAACGCTCTAGCTAGAGTAAACTCGTATGGAAGAAGAAGAAGAAGATACCATTTATCCTACAGATTTAGTCAAACCTTCTTTAACACACGTACAACCTCTCTATAGCATCTGTTAATTTGACATTTAATGTTAACGTTGATTTTACGCCTTGAACACAATTTCAATGTTTAATTAACTTATTTTTCTCAAGAGTTCTAAAATTTAATTCTTTAAAGACAAATTCCTTGAAAACTAGTGTTCTGTGTTGACTGAGTGTGTGCAGTTAGTAGAAGCTGTTAAATGGCTTATCTGGCATTTCCACAAAGACAGGTGGTCAAGAACTTTGATTACTAGGGATCCTTTCATCTTCGCTAGCCAAGGGTTTCCGATCCGATACCTACTCTACAACCCTTGGCAGATTTAGCCTATCAAACGGGAACTTTGATTGCGCCGCCTATCGCCGTAATTGAGTTAAGTCCCTTGAAGCTCTTTAATATTTGTCCAATGAAAATAGCTGTAACATACGTAGATCAATATGACGTTTGAAACAATATGGCGATCTCCATGTGGAATATATCCAAACAATTTCATACAGCTGTGGGCAGTGGGCACACCTCAAAAGTGGTAGAAAATATCGTTCTTCGTGGATTTTTAGTCAAGAGTTTGACACTACTTTCTACTTGTTGCCGTATCAATTATTATCAATGAGCCGTGACATTTGATTGGCTTAAATTGATGCATCTAAAATGCGGAACACGGACTTATGTGGTCCTTTCAATAATTCTTCAAAACATATATGATTAAAAGAAAAAAAATCAAATTAATTAATCCCTTGTTTTTTTTAAGCATAGATCACGTCCTAACTTTCATCCCTTGTAAATATTACTTTTATTTTGCATAAAAAACGAACAGACTTTAATTCAGCCGAAAATCGTCGATTAGTAAAAACCTTGCGTAGACTCGGACTTCGCAGCCAATCAAATTCGTTTGCGCGAGTTCTAAAATTTTCGGCCAAATCTGCCAAGGGTTGTAGAGTAGGTATCGGATCGGAAACCCTTGGCTGGCGAAGATGGGGATCCTTTATAATGTACCAGTACTGCCACAATCCGACACTTAAAACTCTGCACCAGTTGTACAGTATCTTGGTAAAAACAAGGGGAAAAGTATGGAAACTATAAATTTTATTGGTAAAAGATACAAATTTAAAATTATAAAGAAATCTACATTTTGATAAAAAAGCAATTATAAAGCCCCCGTCATTGATGTAAAAATAATCATCCGAATGCTAGATCCCTTTCACAGATGGTGCCATGTTGTTTTTGTTCGCCTATGTCGTCCCATTTACCCATGTGTCCGTCCCTCAGGCCTATTGATGTAGCTGACGAGCTTGCTGGCTCACCAGGGTACCAGTACAACTCGGATATGAGCCTTCCATCTGAGAATTTCCACACGCCACTTGTTTTGTCTCCATCAATTCGGTATTTATGTATTAAATCTTCGATATAAAAAAAAAGTATGCAGATAATTAGAAAAAGAATTTGGAACACCTAGATAATTTCTTTGCTTTTAATTCGCCTGAGGCGAAGGTTCAAGTGAGCTTTTCTGTTCAAAATTTGTCCGTTGTCTGTCGTCGTCGTCATCGTTGTTGTAAACTTTTCACATTTTCATCTTACCAAGAACCTTTAGCCACTCGTTTTTAGTGTATATTACTCCTCCTTGGTGATTACTAGGGCTCAACAGTCGCAATATTTTTCACATACATGTATATTCAAGGAAAATAATTATGAATTAGTGAAAAATTAATGGCATCTTTTGAAAACCTTCTTCTCAAGAACCATAGGGCCAGGAAAGATGAAACTTAAGAATAAAGCAAGTATAGCAATATATAGAAAAAAAAACTTTAAAAATGTTCTCCTAAAGAACAGCAAAGCTATAGTTATGAGAAACCATCCAAGACTCAGCTAGTGTAGATTCAAGCTGCTCAAATCATGGACCCTGGGACAAGGGGTGGTCCAAAATGGGTGATCAAAGTTTTAAGAAGGACAACATAGAAAAAAATTCTTCTTTTCAAGAACAGCAAAGCTGTGATTGTTCATATAAAAACATAAAAAGTATAGATTTAAGTTTGTTCAAATCCCCCCTCCCCCGAACCCATTTTTATATTTAAACTTCAGCCTGGGACTCTTGTTTAGTGTTTTAAGTATACTGGTTAACTGGTATACTAGAAAGGACATCGGAATTATCTATAGATTCACGTACATTGCATGTGAGCATGGTGCGGAGGAGTTAGAAAAATCGTTTTTATCTTGTTTAAAAGCTGCATCTCGATTGGCAAATGTTTTCTCCAAAATAATACCACTTACTTCACGTAATTCCTATATGTAAAATTTAACTTCAGACATAATATTGATAAATTCAGCCTTTTTCTTTACCTGTTCTTGTAAGGTTTAGATCCTCTACGAATTTTTGTTTTCTTTGTGTGTTTATTCTCAAAAGATGTCCATTGAAATTCTCACAGGACAGAATGGCGTTTGGTCTGGTTCTAGGAGTAGGGTCAACATTGTAGCATACGGGAACAGTTGCGTCATAAACATATCCAGAGCCGCCCTCGGAACAAAGGAATTGGGAATAACCTACATTATATAAGTAAATTGTTGTGTACATTGTACAAATTTTGTCATTTTTTTTAATTGATCCGTTTAAGATTCATCCTGTCTCTTTTTTCACCCAATCAAAGAAAAAGAAATACCAAAATAAAACGTATTTATAAATAAATAAATGAATTCAATTTGATATGGCATTCATATTCATCTGTCTTCGCAAGAGCAATTTCTTTTATCAGTGGTAAAGGTACTTTAAAAACCCCTCTGAGATGCAGAGTATAGTGACTTTATATATATTCGGCAGGGGTTGCTCACTCTTCCATGGCACCTGATCCCGCTTTTAGCGATCAATGCATGTTTTTCTCTGCTCCTATTTTGAAACATTTAATGGACTCTTGAGCTTGAATACTGTTGGCTATCCCAACACATTTCATTCCAGACTGTATTTGAAACGTTTCTTTTTTGGTATTTGGAAATTATTCAAATCATATCAATGACAAATGAGATCTAGACTCACTCAATATATCTTGGTAGAAAACTTTCTTTTGCATAACATAATATCGCTGGTTTTCTCCGACCCCTTTGACCTCGGTGTTTTCTCCAAATACTGAACAGTTGAGATTATTTTCGTCAAAAAACACAGAAGCACACTGAGATGTTCCTCGACATAGATCAAAACATTCTGTCCACTTCATTACTAAGCTTGAAGTAAGGGCCGCAGAACTGAACGTAAGAGGAAGAGATGGTTCTTGGTAACGCTGGAACACCATGTGACTGTAGCTCAAGCAATGTACTAAAAGGTAGAAATTCATTTTATTGTTTGCAGCTAACTGTAAAGTTTCACGTTTCGTCACGATCTTTTTCGTCAGATGCATCCAGCGTAAACAATTCACGTTATTGGTCAACTCAAATTATCAACATTGACACGGAAATAGTCTGTTGCACGAGCAACCAATCAGGGATAAGAAGAAAGTTCCAGTCGTAAAGCTTGCGGTTAGGAGGCGTGTACAATTTACCATGAGTGCAGCTGTCAACTAGATCGTGACGTAACACGAAACTTTACAGTTAGCTGCAAACGATAATATTTAAAAACCTCACTACATGTTATGCCATTTTTTCGAATAAAAAATGCTGTACAAGCATTTTTGCAAAAAAAAAAAAACCACACACACAACAAAAACAATAAATTGCCCCCTCCCAAAGGAAAACACATTCAATAGATATATGTATATTCGTAAATTCTTAAATATGTGCATAACTGTAAATATAATTGTAAGTTATAGTGCCATAAAAATCATTAGCAATTATATTAATCAAATTAAAGGCAGATTTTTTTTTATAATTTCGCCCATTATCTGTTTTCAAGGTAACGAGACTTATTTTTGGGATCCCCCCCCCCCACACACACAAAACAACAACTTGGGGAGACTATATCGATCTCAACATAATGAAGATAATATCGAATAAAATGATAGTAAAAAATATAACTGATTACAAAGCATATAAAAAATGTATACGTACCTAATTTAATCATGTAAATTTGATGTAAATAACACGAAAGAATCACATTCTTTAGCAACATTTTTTATGCCACCAAAACTCCTCTACTCTTCGTCCATATCTTTGACAGCCACTGATACGGCTACTAATGGTTATTAATAAGGATCGATTTAGGTACCTCTGTTTGTCAAAAGCATGCATTGTTTGAAAGCAATTTAAAAATCAGTTTCTCAATGAAGCTGTTAGGATACTTTAGATCTCGCTGATTTAGTAAAAATCAATCCCACTTACCAATACAAATAAAACCTAAAACACATTTCTGTTGATTTATTAACAAAACATATAATTATTCATTGATCAACTTTAATTAAAGAGCTTTGCATTATAATTTATATGTCAGAAATAAGTGCATTGATGAAATATTTCAGAAGAACGGGCACAATTTCAAATTTGATATGACTGAGAATAATTACATAAAGCAGATTTATTGGGAAGGACCAGGCTCATTCTTGATTCCAATCATTTTCATTGATTATAATTTATATGGTTTGACGATTAATTGAAGCGAAGTGATAAGTCATTTCTAAAGTAATTTCATAAGTCTTTTGTCTGACTTCACATGAAGTCTACAAATGTAGTCCATGAAGCGAATCAGACGATAGATGTATAAAATTTTGGAGCAATAAAAATACACGAAAAGCGCACGGTTTATATATATAATTATTTAAAGCGTTTAAATCCTTTTTATTCCCCCATAATCGAGGTTTCGGGGATATACCGGTATACTGAGTAGCTTTTGTCTTGTCCGTCCACATGTCTGCATGTTTGTCTGTATGTCCGCCAATTTAAAACTTTAACCTTGCCGATAACAAAGTATACAAGGTGATGAGGACAAATACTAGTATGTCGGTATCCAAAAAAGGCCCCGCCATAAAGAATACACAAATGAAATATAAAAGCGCTTTCAAATAAAAAATTATGGACGAGGTTAAGGCTTTTACAGACACTCAGTTTGACATGACAGACAGACAAACAGTCAGCTAAACAGACAGGCGGACAAGTGAAAAACGTATACCACTGAGTGTTCAATTACGGGGCATCCAAGTGAATTATAAGATTTACATTCAACAAATGATAAAATGTTACCTCTCCTGACGAATGAGGGGCATAATTTACAAAATTCTTAAAATCGCTAAAATGAAATATTGCTATAATTATGTTCCCCAAACGAAGTTGGGGAACATATTGTTTTTACTCTGTTTCTTATTATTATGTTCCCCAAACGAAGTTGGGGAACATATTGTTTTTACTCTGTTTCTTATTATTATTCTTTTTTCTTCTTATTTCTTCTCCGGACTTTTTTGTCCGCGAGTGTTCTCAGAAACTGTACACATAACTGAGCTAAAACCTTTTTAGGGTTAATAGGTGTGTAGTGTAGGTGTGCGGAACGAAGGTCATTTTGCGCGCATACGCATGCACGTGCGTGCACGTGAAATGAGTGAAATGACTGATATACTTTATATAGCTATAAATTTTACATTTTTTGATGAAATGCTTTGAAACTCATTAAATGAGGATATATTAATAGTGTTAATATAATGACACTGTTAAATTAGCACGAACTCACGCGCGTGCACGTGCGCTTTGCTCTGATTGGCTGAAACTAAAATCTCAATATCTCTTTTGTTTTTTGACGAAACCTTTTCAAATTTTAAACATAGTCATGCATTAGGATATCCTACAATATGCTGTATAAAAATTTGCATGAAATCACGCGCATGCACGTGTGCTGCAATCTGATTGGCTGAAACTTTAAATGGCTATATCTCCTTTATTTTTTGACAAAATGTTTTGAAATTTAAAACATAATCATGCATAAGGATATCCTGCAATATGATATGCAAAATATTTCAAGAAATCATGCGCATGCACGTGTGCTGCAATCTGATTGGTTGAAATATTAAATAACTATATCTCCTTTGTTTTTGGAAGAAATGCTTTGAAATTTAAAACATAGTCATACATTAAGATATCCAACAATATGATATAGAAAAATATTCATGAAATCACGCACGTGCACGTGTGCTGCAATCTGATTGGTTGAAACTTGAAATGGCTATAACTCCCTTGTTTTTCAACCAAACAGGATGGGATTTAGAACAGCGATAAATATAAGGGACTCCTAAAAGAAGGTATGGTCATCATGCACGTGCACGCACGTGCGTGCATTTGGACCGAGTGAAATTAAAAATACACTTGAATGAGTGATTTTAATACTTTTGGACTACTTTTGGCAACTTAATGAAGCTTACAAGGAATAAGGCACCAAAAGGGAGTTGGGGAGCGTTTGGGGAACATCTGTAACGGTTCCCGTTACAATTAGCCCTAGTTATTATTATTTTTCTTCTTCCTGGGAAAATTTTGTCCACGAGTGATCTTGTAAACTACACATCCGACTTAGGTGAAACCTTTTTAGGGTCAGTAGGCATGTTATGTAGAGTTGCCAAACAAAGGTCATTTTGCGCGCACGTGCTTGCAAGAGCGCGCACGTGTAACAGGTGAAATTACCAATATAATGGATATTGCCGTAACTTTTCTATTTTTTGATGAATTTTTTTGAAACTCATAATGTAAGGATACATTAGTAGTATAGACAAGATAGCATGGTCAAAATAGCAAGATCTCACGTGCATGCACGTGCGCTTCCCTCTGATTGGCTGAAACTAAAGTCTCAATAACTTTCTTGTTTCTTGTCATAATCCTTTGAAATTTTGAACATAGTCCTACATTTTGAAGATCTACCGCATGATATATAAGAATTTTCATGAAAGCATGCGCATGTGCGCGTGCTGCAAGCTGATTGGCTGAAACTTTAAATGGCAATATCTCCTTTGTTTTTTGACGAAATTCTTTGAAATTTAAAATATAGTCATGCATTAGGATATCCTACAAAATGATATAGAAAAAAAAATCATGAAATCACGCGCATGCACGTGTGCTGCAATCTGATTGGCTGAAACTTTAAATGGCTATTTCTCCTTTGTTTTTTGAGGAAATTCTTTGAAATCTTAAATATATTCATGCATTAGGATATCCTACAAAATGATGTAAAAAAAAAAATCATGAAATCACGGGCATGCACGTGTGCTGCAATCTGATTGGCTAAAACTTTAAATGGCTATAACTCCCTTGTTTTTCAACCAAACAGGGTGGGATTTAGAATATAGATAGATGTAAGGGACTCCTACAAGAAGGTATGATCATCATGCACGTGCACGCACGTGCGTGCATTTGAAACTAGTATATTTAAAAATACTATTGAATGAGTGATTTTTATTACTTTTTGGCTGAATGCTTAAATATATAGTATATTAAAATATATAAATAGTGTAGACAAGATGATATGGTCATAACGCACATGCATTCACATGCGCTTGGGTGCAATGCTATAAATTGAATATAATTGGTATCCTTCTGGGAAAACGTTGTTAAAGTCAAAAATGCACAGAGTTTGTCTTATTTAATGAAGCTTACAGGGAATATGGCACCGAAAGGGAGTTGGGGAGCGTTTGGGGAACATCTGTAACGGTTCCCGTTACAATTAGCACTAGTTTCTTTCCATATCAGAGGTGAGAATTTTTTATCATGGCCATAGGCGTCGGAACCGGGGCGGGGGGCTTAGACCTCACTTTTTTTTGCAAAAATAGTCATCATATAGGCATTAAAAATTGGGATTAACCTTTTTTTGTTGGTTTAGCCCCCTACATTCGATTATAGCCCCCCCCCCCCCTTAATTTGCTTCCGACGCCTATATAAATTCTTCTACATGTATTTGAAAAAAGAAATTCCATGCTGTGGATTTCAAGAACGCATTTAAGCAATAGTTTATCTATGGCACGCCAAATTCACAAAAATGAGAAAAAACATAGTTTCACAGTCGATAAACTAGGTTTATCGGTTGTAAACTATAGTTTACGGACTGTAAACTATAGTTAACAACGTTAATCTATATTTTATATCTGTAAAGTATAGTTAACGCGATAATCTATGTTTCACAACCGTAAACTATACTTAACACCAAAAACAATCATCTGCTATGGCACGCCAAATTCACAAAAATGAGATAAACCTAGTTTCACAATTGATAAACTAGGTTTATCGACTGTAAACGACAGTTTACAAACCGTAAACTATAGTTAACAATTCGTTAAGTATAGTTAACGATTCGTTAAGTATAGTTTTCATCTGTAAAACTATATTTAACGGTTGTTAACTATAGATTACGAATGATAATCTAAGTTTATGTGTCTGTAATAAGCGTTAACAATAGATTTTGTTGATAAACATAGATTCACGTTTGTAAACTACCCCGGTATAGTTTACAATCGTAAACTATAGTTAAGAGTTGTTAATCATAGTTTCACAACTCGTGAAACTATACCTGGGTATTTATCAGATCGTTAACTATAGTTAACGGTTTGTAAACTATAGTTTACAAATCGTGAAACTGTATTTATCAGATAATCTATGTTTTGCAATCGCAAATGATTGTTTTCAGTGTTAAGTATAGTTTACGGTTGTGAAACATAGATTATCGCGTTAACTATGGTTTACGGATGTAAAATATAGATTAACGTTGTTAACTATAGTTTACAGTCCGTAAACTATAGTTTACAACCGATAAACCTAGTTTATCGACTGTGAAACTATGTTTAGCACATTTTTGTGAATTTGGCGTGCCATAATCTGCGATTGCAAAATATAGATTATCTGATAAATACAGTTTCACGATTTGTAAACTATAGTTTACAAACCGTTAATTATAGTTAACGATCTGATAAATATAGTTTCACGATTTGTAAAAATATGATTAACAACTCCTAACTATAGTTAACGATCGTAAACTATAGTTTACAAACGTGAATCTATGTTTATCAACAAAATCTATTGTTAACGCTTATTACAGACAGATAAACTTAGATTATCATTCGTAAACTATAGTTAACAACCGTTAAATATAGTTTTACAGATGAAAACTATACTTAACGAGTCGTTAACTATAGTTTACGGTTTGTAAACTATAGTTTACAGTCGATAAACCTAGTTTATCAATTGTGAAACTAGGTTTATCTCATATTTGTGAATTTGGCGTGCCATATTTATCAGTTAATACTTTCCATTTTCGTTCCTACTTAGATTAGATATATATTTTGAACTCGAAATAAATGCTACTAATATCTGACCATTGTTTCACATTTGAATAATTTGCCAGGAAAAGGCGTTAATGGTAATCTTACACAATTGTCATGAAACGTGATTATTTTAAAATTTCGATCCCCGTTTCTTACTTATCTCTTTTATTCTTTATATGGCAATATACCGTTATCACCTCGCCCACGTGGCCAATGGTAAAGTACGTTTGCTCTAAACTCACAAAGTCGCTTATATATGGGTGTTTATCACGCAACTATTATAGTTCGATACGCAAGGGTGTGATCGTATTTGCATATGAATTTTTTAACTTACCCCCCTCCCTTTTTTTCATTCACACATGTATATAATGGAAAGTTCACACTTGTAATAGGAATTTCCTGTATTGCTTCATTTACAAAAAAGAAGAAAATGCCTATGATCAAATTTACGATTAACTTAGGATATATTCCTAAGATGCTTTCGTTTTACTATCTAAGACGTATCTTAACAAGATATTCCCAAGACGGGGAAGTGTGAATGTGTGTGAGAATATGACTAAAAATCTATGTAACATGACATGTAACTTTTTGAAATAAAAATAGATATTCCTAAGATATCTTAAGACACGTCTTACAAATTTTCATTTATAAGCTTGCCTGTTGGTTGCCTAGTGCCTACGTCAAAAATCAATCTGCCTCGATTTTTTTTAAAAAAAGCAACCCAGGTTATATAGGTATAACCTTGGTTGGAACAGTTTACATTTTTTTTTTATAATTCGCGAAGATGTCAAAGATGCAGTTTATAAAGCGTAAACTGTCCCAACCCAGGTTATACGGCATCTTATACATGTTTATAACTTGGGTTGCTATTTTAATTCAGTTCTTTCCTTAAATAGCTTGTAACTTTATTAAAACATCTTTTTAATGTATTTAAAGTAGAGTGAAAATTTCATAAATTTATAGTTGAATGTTTCCTTTGATAAATTGTTCCTGAAAAAACAAGTGTATACACGTGTAACTACACATATGCATCACGTCCTGCTTTCACAAGTATAAAAACGTATTTATAGATCTATGCATTAAATTCATTTTATCGGTTTATGTAAAGAGATGTTTATAAGGCAAATGGTGTTCATATTTTGTGGTGATTGCTGGAACATAATACATTTATATATAACTGAAATCCGACTAAAATTTGATCGAACTGTTTAAAAAAAGTTTAAAATAGGAACCGGAAGTCGTATGTGCGCATGTTGGTAGTTATCCACACATGGCCGCGACCACGAGATAGTAAATCACCGGTATTTTCTTACATAATGCACGAATAGTTTGATTTAAACTTAATAGTTATAGAGGCATTAGTTAGGCATATTTAAAAAAAAATATGGGGAATTCATCGTCTACACCGACAGTTCCTCCGCCCTCAAGCTCCAGCATACCATCACCACCACCTGCAACACCCTCACAACCTTCCAACTTGACACCACCGCCGTCTATAGTTACGTCAGAGATAAAACCTCCAAATGAAGTCAAAGAAGAAACAAGCAGTAACCCAGGCACATTTGAAGAGATGCATCGAAAGTGCAAAGGTTTGAAGATGTTTAATTTGCTGATGACAAGGCATGAGTGTTGAAAATGAAAACACCAAGGTCAAATAATGCAGTTTCAAATATTTTTATTATTTTAAAGCAGATCAACAGGAAAGAAGTATTGAAAAATTGAATGTTATGAATTCAAGCAGTTAATGAGTTTCCAAAATGTTTTTTTCAAGAAGTCATTCATTGAAACATTTATCTTGCAGAGAAGAATGAGCTATTTATTTTTAGGTGTAAATTGAATCTCTTACCACATTATAATTTTTTATAAGAATTGCATATGCACAAAAATCATTTAGTGCAATGGGAGTCTTAAATTTAGCACAATTGGGATAATGAGATGGCAGAATCGCAGATGCAGTTTCAGTTTTAATCGTGATTGGCATCTTCCAAAAGGAAGGGGAGGGGTTTGAATCAGTAGATAAACTGAAAGCAGAAAATATACAACATACATAGAGGATATTCAGTGTTTTGTAGTTGAATATGGAATTTATTTCACGAGTGGGACAGGATTTTTGATATTTTCACGAGTGCGAAGCACGAGTGAAAATATCAAAAAATCCTGTCTCACGAGTGAAATAAATTCCATATTCAACTACAAAACATTGAATTTTCTGTTTATTACATTTTTAAAAAAAATTCTTTGATTTTTCCTTTGCCTCTGTCTTTAGGTCACCTGAGTAAACTCAGGTGACCTATTGCTATCACTTTTCGTCCGTCGTCGTTCGTCGTGCGTCGTGCGTCGTGCGTTAACATTTGAACATTTTCAGCTTCTTCTCTGAAACCACTGAACCAATTTTAACCAAATTTGGCATATAGCATCTATGGGAGAAGGGGAACAAAAATTGTGAATTTCATGGGCCCTGCCCCCCTGGGGCCTGGGGGGTGGGGCAAAAACCACTAAAATTAGTGCAATCTTTAAAAATCTTCTTCTTTACTCCTGGACATCAAGCAGTCAAACTGTTTGCATGATTGTAATCAGCATTGAGTCCTCTACCAAAATTGTGAAATTCATGGCCCCGGGGTCAGGGGTTCTGGTGTTAGGGTGGGGCTAAATAAGTATATAGTTAAATTTCATGAATTCTTTGAAAATCTTCTTCTCTGCTCCTGGGTATTAAATAAACTAACTAAGTGCATAGTTATGATGAGCAAGAGTGCCTCTACCAAAATTGTGAATTTTATGGCCCCAGGGTCAGGGGTTCTGGTGTTAGGGTGGGGCTCTATAGATTATATAGTGAAAATACATAAATTCTTTGAAAATCTTCTTCTCTGCTCCTGGGTATTAAATAAACTAACTAAGTGCATAATTATGATGAGCAAGAGTGCCTCTACCAAAATTGTGAATTTTATGGCCCCAGGGTCAGGGGTTCTGGTGTAAGGGGGGGGGGGGGCTCTATAGATTACATAGTGAAAATACTTGAATTCTTTGAAAATCTTCTTCTCTGCTCCTGGGTAATAAATAAACTAAATAAGTGCATAGTTATGATGAGCAAGAGTGTCTCTACCAAAATTGTGAATTCTATGGCCCCAGGGTCAGGGGTTCTGGTGTAAGGGGGGGGGGGGCTCTATAGATTATATAGTGAAAATACATGAATTCTTTGAAAATCTTCTTCTCTGCTCCTGGGTATTAAATAAACTAAATAAGTGCATAGTTATGATGAGCAAGAGTGCCTCTACCAAAATTGTTAATTTTATGGCCCCAGGATCAGGGGTTCTGGTGTAAGGGGGGGGCTTTATTGATTATACAATGAAAATACACTAAATCTTTGAAAGTTTTCTTCTCTGCTCCTTGGTATTAAGCAGATGAACTACCTATGTAGTTATGATGAGTAAGGGTCCTAATCTTCCAGAATTGTGAATTTCAAGGCCCCAGGGTCAGGGGTACCATAAAGGAGGGGGGGGGCTGTACTTATATACTGAAACTGGATGAATTGTTTGAAATCTGCTCCTTGGTATTTATCAAATATTTTTGAAAAGCAAGGGTGCCTTTTCAAAAATTGTGCAATGTGTGGATCTAGGCCTAAGGGTCAGGGGTTCATGTGTGATTGGGGCATTACTGATCATGCTGAATATTACTGATTACTTGAAATGCATTTTTTGTTCCCCTACCCTGCCTATGGGTATTTAGTAAACAAACTAAGCAACTGCTAAGTGTATTGTTATGATGATCAATGGTGCCTATTTCAAAATTGTGAATGCCATAGCATCTGGATTAAAACATGAATCAAATTCAATCACTGGAAAGTTGTTGCATAATGCTCAGGTGACCTATAAGGCCCATGGGCCTCTTGTTTTGTAATACAGTTATAGGCTCGTGATGTCATAGTTGAGCGGTTGAGACGTCATAGCTAAGTGAGGTGAAAACACTGTAAACATGGATTTAGCAACACATTTTTGGTAATTTTGACAGTTTTATTCGCTGTCAGAATGATTTTTTTATTTCCATCTATCTTATATTAGGCCAAGGAAGATTTTTTTTACAGCAATCTTCGTTATGGGAAGGGAAATCGAGAGTTTTCCCGCACTCCTGATATTCGTCACACTGTGACAGGATATCATTTTGATATCCTTTCACACTGTGACAGGATATCATTTTTATTCAATGAATAAATTAGAGAATTTCACGGGTAAAAATGTAATAATATGAACTATGTCACTCATTCTTGATCATGTTCTTTTCATATTTTTAGAACTTTTCCCTCAGACATTTGAGGGTGGTAGATTCCTTGTGTCAAAGGGGTTGAGCAGTCATTTCCAAGTCAGCCACACACTCACCATGTCCCAGGTGTCTCCACAGGAATCAGGATACAAGTTTGGTGCTACTTACATAGGAACCAAACAGTACAGCCCCTCAGAGGTAATCAGAGAGAAAAGGCAGCATAAAACTTACAGAACTATATTCAAGTAGTTAGGGTCTTCTTTGAAAAAATGTTTGATTGTCGTCTTCTGACCCACTGGCTATAAATGGCCTGACTCAAAACCTTTCTTCCCTAGGGGAAAAATATTTTTCTTTATTTCTAGATTTTCTGATCCTTAAACTTGTAGGTTGAAATTTTCTTCAAGAAAAATTTTTCCAACTACCTACCAACCAAAAAAAAACCCAACATATTTTAAGATTGCCTAGCACACCCATGTTGATCATGCTTTCATAAAGGCCTGCTCATTAATAGTTTTTTAATACACCTCTCTTTTCAGGCCTATCCAGTTATGATGGGAGATATTGACCCCTCATTGAATTTAAATGCACATATCATACATGCATTCACTAGGAAAATAAGAACCAAACTCCAGTCTTCAGTGAGTATCTTATCAAATTTATGTGCTTCAGTTTCAAAATTAATTCACAAGCAAGGAATTGTTGATGTCTTAAATTCATTCTAATATTTCTCATAAAGCAGTGTAATAAGTGTGTGTGAAAATGAGTGTGCCCCAAACATGTGTTCATCATTTGATTTAGTCATTAAAGCAGTTAGTAATTTTGGATTATTTTTATTGCTGAATAGGTGCAGGAAGGAAAATTCATGGGTCAAGGATCAATAGATTACTTAGGGGATGACTTTACCTCAACACTGACTCTAGGAAATATTGATATTTTGAACAAAACTGGTGAGTATATGTGAAAATAGTGTAACATTGTTTGGTAAGTTTTTTAAAGAAGTTTTATTCATAAGGGAAGCAGAGTTACTGAGCCTGTAATTTGACTTTCAGGTGTGATTGTCGGCCATTACCTACAGAGAGTGACCCCCAGCGTAGCTCTAGGAGCAGAATTAGTGTATCAGAGGGGACCCAGGGTTCCTGGAGGTGAAATCACAGTCATCTCATTAGCTTCCAAAATTACAGGTCAGAAATACTTGCAGAGTACTTAGGAGAAAGCTTTGTTCAATAAGGTTTATGTGCAGTCTTCGAAATAACCCGGGAGCCCGATGCCCGGGACCTGGTAAATTTGCCAGCGGGCATGTAAAAATTTTCAAATTGCATGCCCGAAGGGCATGTGTGAATTTTCTTTCGATGCACAATGTTTGCTTGCCATTTGTTCTGTCGTACCCCAGTTATTCACGTAAAGTTGCTACGTAATGTCTTAAAATGAATTGCCAGTCTACATTCTTCTTACGTTACATTCTCAGTACAACCTGTCAAATGATTGTCAATCGTAATCATTAAAGTGTTTAATTTGACCTATTTGTTTTATGGAAGTTTCTGTATAAACAAGTAACAGCTTTTTAAAAAGCTTGCCTGACTAAATCAATCAATTTATCTGCATGAAGAGTGATGACCCTTTTGAGCAATACTTTGTGGGTTTAAAAAGTATCCTAACTTTATATTTTGAGAACCTTATGTAATTGAAATTTTGATTTTACTGAACTTGTAGAAGAATCATCTCTACACTGCATACTAAAGAACTTTGTAGTTGAAGGGGGGGGGGGGGGGGCCTGCAAGTGGAGTGATCTTCCCTTGGATCTAAATTGATTTTAAGCTACATTGTAACACCTATCATAAAACTTGTTATCAAATCATGCATTGTGAACATTTTAAAAGATGGATATAATTAAAAACACATTTTGTTGGAGTGTATTTTCTCCTCTTAAGTAAACAGTAGTAATGTGTGTTCATTATTTTTTTTTTCTTAAAAGGGGGGAGGGGGGATGACACTATCATATAATACATGATATATTGAGAATGAAATAAGTAAATTCAAAAGTTAGGCTTTGTAGAAAGAAATATCCAAGATTATTCACTACTTTTTTATTTATCGTGTGCATCTGAACAAAGACATATAATAGATCATGCATCTGGACATCGTCTCAAGCCACGGTCCAGAGTCCGCATATAGCTCTCTCCAACCCGTGGCTGCTTAATCACAAAAAGTGTCGAAATCTTGAGTATTTACGCCTCCCTATTGTGACGTCATATTCAGTCAGTGGCAAGTTTTATTTCCATTGCAATTGAAATCTTTCCTATACTACGATTGGATATTGAAAGGTCGCGATAAAGTTCATCATCCGACTATGCTTTACTCGCATTGGTCAATATTTCAATGAGCTATGAAGAATTCTCTCCTCGTTTAACCAGGGCCAGAATGGGAGAGGATCGTACATTTTGGCCGTGGTTTGCGACGATGGCATCTGGAGATGATGGCATGAACTGCGTTGTTTATTATTATTGGACTTGTCCATTTATGGAATAAACCAACCGCGGGATCGGTAAACAAATTAGAAACATCATTTCTTTAGTGTTACATGTCCATATACCATGTATACTGATGTATACGATATGTTGTTTTAAAGAGTGGTATAAAACTTGTAGATAGAATTTCTGAAGCATTAGAAGCAAGGGTTAAACTTTATTTAATTCCATGGAAGTTAGCACACCCATTCATACAACAGAAAAATCCAAGGAAAAGGCGCGACATATGAAAATGGCAGACAGGCAGGCCATGGTTGATTTACGAAATTACGACTCTATACATAATTTAAACATAAGATAGAGAGAATTTAAAAACAGAAACACTGTCCTTATAGTTAAATATAAAAACCTTATATTTTGTTGTACAGTCATAACTGCTATATGAATGAATTTTGAGTAGGGCATGTACAAATTTCAATGGGCTTGGTAAAAATTATAGGTATACATGCCCGAAGGGCATGTGCTGAAAAAAAATTGTTGTGAAGACTGTATGTGTTCAATGAATGAAAAATTATAGAATATGGTGAGTTTTACTCTGAACAGAATTTAAAAATACATGTCATTTAAAATTGTGCAGTCAATATTTAATTCTTTCTTTGATTATTTTATACTTGCATATAACAGAAATTGCAAACAGTTCTACATACTGTGTATACTATAGAAGTTATAAACAGCTTTACATACTGTGTATACTACAGAAGTTATAAAAGTGCATGTCTATACTTTGTTTCAGGGGAAAATTGGCAATTCACAGCCAATGTGTGCCCATCAGCAGTAGCAGCACATTGTTGCTACTATCATAAAGTAAATGAACAATTGTCAATCGGAGCAGAGGTAGAGACAAGTCTCATGACGCGAGAAAGTGTAGGTAAAGGTTGTTACCAGCTAGAAATACCTAGTGGAAATGCAATGTTTAAAGGTGAGTCAAAAAGTTTTATTACCATTAATGATTTTGTGTATGAGTGCCCCTTTGTTATTTTCAATCTTTTTATCACCCGATTGGTCACTAGGTCAGTTACAATACAAATACTTTATATAAATTGTACTTTGGTTTGATATTCCAGGTTCTTTTGATTCAAACTGGGTAGCAGAAGCTGTGTTAGAAAAGAAACTGATGCCCTTACCATTCACCCTACAGCTTAGTGCTATGGCTAACTTTGCCAATGTTCAGAAGAGTTCATATAGGTTTGGAATAGGTTTAGTTCTTGGTTGAGAGTTTTAACAAAGGACATTGACTGTGATCTTTAGTTATGTTCACCTCATCATTTAAGGGAAGGTGAGCCTATACATTTACTGACTTGTGCCTGGAGGGAAAGACAAAAGCATTTCTGTGGTGTTTTGACCACTTCTTCTTGACCTTTAGATAAGGGACATTACTCCGGGCAATCTGTCTATTTTTTCCCGTACAATAGTTAATGATTAAAAGTGAGTGTCACTTATAAGCTGGCATTATGCTGTACTTAGAATGTGTGATAATATTAAACAGGTAGCTGTGTGTGGCATTTGTATCAAGCATATGATGTGTAGTAATATATGCAATGTAAAGCATTATGATAAGAAATATTTAATTTTCTTTCAAAATCATATTATTAAAGGGTATTTTGAACTACAGCCATGAATGTTTAGTAAGGCTTTAAATCTTGTCCTTTGATTATTTCAAAGTTTAAAATTTTTATGTTCAATTTCAGGCATTTACCGATAGTGACATGGCATGATTTAATAATTATCATTATTTAATAGAGGCATTGCTTTGATTATTTTATGTAGAATGAATGCATGGATTTAATTATTTGATAATACAACATGTTCATCATGATAATCAGTATTTTATTCTACTGATTACACTTTTAGCTGGAAAACAAAGTGTTCAGAATGTTATTGGCATTGTTTAGTTTTATCAACACTGCCATCTGACTTTCATCACCATCTACATATTTGCTGATTATTCACTGTGTCATTAAAGAAATTTTAAACAAGCAATATGTTTTTGCTTGTTTGTGCACCATAGCGTTTTTAAAAAGTCATCTTTACAACCTTTATTTAAAGAAGATGAAAAACAAGATATGATTGTGAAACATTGTTGCCTTTATTGAGCTCAAAAAAAAGGATAAATTTTCTTATTCCAAAGTCAAATTTCAAGGTCATGGTCAAGAGATAAGAAATATGTATGATTGTATGTCAAAACATTTACCTTTAATTTGACTCTTTGACCTTAAGATTGGGGTTTGACCCACACTGGAAAAAAAAATTATCCTTGACCATACCTTTTGAATGGTTTGTGCTTGGGCATTCATATTTCACTGGTACACTATTTCACTGGTATACTATAGTACCTCGGTACTCAATGAAAGAAGTATTTTCTCTGGTTGACAGCATTTTTGATCTCTTGACCTTGAAGTTTGGTTTGCAGTTGAAAAAAAGTGTTCTTTGCCAAAAGCTGCCATATGGGGGTCAAGGTGGCATCAGTGTTTAGCAAACATGTTTTAATGCCCCTGTAATCAAAGATTCTGGGGTATATAGTTTTTACCCGGTCAGTCTGTCTGTTTATCTGTTTGTCCGTACTGGTTTAAAATTTTGACCTCATCTCAAATTTAAATGTTGGCTGTAACTTTCGCTCTAGAAAAAGGATTTCATATTTATGATATTTAACCTTATGAATACATGTATACTCAGTATCTTGAAGAGATGCAATATTGACTGTTAACTTTTATTTATCTTTTCTTGAAAGAAGGACAGAGAAGACAATACAGACAACAAGACAGTGCATTTAGACAAGACAAGTATAATATGATAAAGCCGAAAATATAGGTATTTTTTCTCATTTAGTAAGACACAGGGTGCAGGTTCCATGAATACATATACAGTGTATCATTAGTTGCATAAAGCAAAACTTAATATAATAGGATCACAGGCCTTTAAATCGCTTACAAAAAATTGAAGTGTTATTTTATAAAAAAAAACATCTTTATACACCATTTTTAGCTGGGCTTATTGCTCAAAGAGCAATTGCCGGCTTATGTGATCCTGTTCAAGGCAGGATGTTGACCCCATAGTCGCCATTTTAAAGTTACGTGGAAAAATATAGTTCTTACTCTCAACCGCTTTTGAGATAATACAAACGCTAAATAAAGCAACAAAAATAGAACGAAGGTTTATCTATATAAAATAAACATTAGTAGTAATGACTTTGAAAACTTAATTCATAAGTCAAAGAACATAGTTCATTAGCGTAAGGATTTTTTATAATCAGTGTTACCGTAGTTCTCTACACATACAAGGTAAAGCAGGAGAGGGAACCAGACAGGCCTGTTTGTTTACATTCAGCTGCGGTACCAGATTAATTCTGATTCTGACAAAATCGGACCGTGGTATTAGGATTGAAAAACTCACTGTCAGTGTCTTATCATTTATATTAATAGTTTTAAAATAATTTTTTCATCAGAATATAAACGTGATTCATGTAAGAAATCCATTCTACTCTGTAAATGAGCCCGGCTCTCTGTACTTCTGAGTACTTTGATTAAAAGTAGGATTTAAGCGATCTAAAGGCCTGTACATTGGACCACACTTTAATCTCATCTTTACTAGGACAATTATCGGCTAATTTTTTGATATGTTGTAAATTAAATCATAATTCTCATATTGTCATTCATTCAATTATTCTCTCAAAAAACCATATACATGGTACAAGAGGTACATATATACATATTTACAATAATTATGGACGAGCAGAAATTACAGGAGGACAGACAGTGTCAAAAATTTTTTGTAATAAATATACACAATTTTCGTAAAAATGCTGGATCTGTACTTGTCATCAAATTACAGAATTTTATTATATTTGGATGTACATAGTATTTCTGCAACAAAAAATCTTTTCGGATACTATATAATGCATTACATTCCAGTAAATAATGGAATTCGTCTCCTATCTGATTATTATTACATAAATTGCACACTCTTTCATTTAAAACTTATTCATATCATTTGACTACTAGTAATTAATTAAGAAAAACCAAAAGGTTAGTAAAATGGTATGCACATTTATAAAAGTTAACAAGTTTATGTGATTTTAATTTTCCTATTAGAGGCCTTGGACGAATATAATGGTGTTTGGAATTTTCATTCTGTCTGTTATTAATGTTATTCATGACAAGCTTTAACTTAAATAAAACACTTCTGTCTACTCTCAAACGCCGTGCCTCTTTAGTACAGAGTATCATTATCCCAGTAGCCCCCATAATCTCCTCTTCTATGCCCTATCCTTCTTTCCAGTCCATCTTCAGTGTATCTATCCTGTCTGGGGTATGACTGTGGGTAAAACTGCTGCATCCTGTATGGACCTTCTCTACTGTATCCCGACATATCCTCACTGTATTCACTTCCTGGGTATCTCTGATAGTACATCACATTCCTTGGATCTGTGTAGGGAAGGCAATATGCACTATTTTGGTTTCTATAATGGTGCTGATTTCTAGAAAAGTAGTTCTGTTGATGATACTTCTTGGATCTTGAAAATTCAACTCCAGTGGGCATCCTACCTCCATACCAAATATCATTATGTGGATGTTTCTGATTTAAGCCGGTACCTTCATTTATTTTCCTTCCTGAATGAGTAGAGTGTTTAAATTTTTGTGACTGCTTATAGTTTGAATTCAGATCTTTATTTTTCTCATTTATAGTATGTAATTTGCCAGCCCTAGTCTTTGATTCCTCTCCCTTTGCAGCCGCAGTCCTTTGTTTGAGACAGAAGAAAACAACAACAATAATCACTACCAGCAAGGTTCCCCCAACTGCAAACACAGTACTGATTATGATGACCATTTCCTCAGACAGTCCGGACAGAGGTGAAGTAGTTACGGGGGCGTCTGATGTTTCTGACGGTGTGCCAACAGATTTTGTACTTACAGAGGGAAACGTATCAGATAAAGGAACTTGAGTTGATAATGGTATGGATATTTTAATTGCAGTACCCGAATTGGCATTTGTATCATCCGTTGATATTACTGATCCAGTTTTTGCAGAACCTATGAAGTAATTACACGAAGAAAAGGACATAAAAATTATTGAAATATATGACAAATTTTCAATTGTTCACTATATAATCCTTTTCTTATCATACATTTTGTAAAACAACATATCTTCATAAATTCAACACATGTGAAGTTCAACATTAGAATTCACCAAATTTTTTGCTGGACTTTCGCATTAACCAGCTTGAAAGTAAGACGATCTCTCATTTAAATAAGACAAAGTAAATTGATCTTTCCTGTCCATACAGAAAAATAATTATAAATGTGATTGTGAGATCACCCCATATGATAGCTCATGTAGGTTATAGGGGACAAAATCAAGAGAGGTCTAGTATAAAGAATATGATAACGCCTGTGAAACGTGAAAGTCTTAGCACCAATCGTTAAAATTTAAGTAAAACTTATGTAGTAGAAACATAGATATTGCGAATTCACGGATAAAGCAAAGTTATTTTTGAGCTGTATAAATTTAACGATTTACTTATATAGATATAACAAATTACGGATATAGCGAAGTAATTTCATAGGTTCCTCTTACTTCACTAAAACCGAGTTCTACTTTATGGTCAAATAAAATTGGTTTCAAAAGTAAGTCAGTATCCAAGCTTAATGCCAAAGGATAAAAATTAATATTATACTTTCATGTAAATTAGTTGAATCTGATTGGTCGAGAAACATTTGTTAAAAAACACTATTAACCGCTGAATAATGGAGCCATGCCCTCCAGCGTAGCAACAGTCAACATTGCTTGACGACGGGTGGTATTCCAAAAAATAGCGACTGCGCAGAATTTATGCGCGCACGGTTCATTGTTATATGTATTTGTATAAAACATTCAGTATAATATAATAAATATAGCATGTAGTTGAGTGTAACATTGAAAATTTTCACCCCAAGAAAACCATTGTCAACCTCGGCTGCGCCTCGGTTGACAATGGTTTTCTTGGGGTGAAAATTTTCAATGTTACACTCAACTACATGCTATATTTATTATATTGCGCCTCGGTTGACAATGGTTTTCTTGGGGTGAAAATTTTCAATGTTACACTCAACTACATGCAATATTTATATATTGGTGCCCATGGGAAGATCTTGTTGCCTAAACACCAACTGTACAACGATAATGGCCAAGATTAAAGTTTTTAAGAAGCAGGACAAACTTTTAAGGGGGATGTACGGCCACCTTTAGTGCGGTGAGAACAAAATGTAAACATTTCTTCAAATGGCTAAAATACATCATATTTTGATCAAATTTTGAGTCCTTATGATAAAGTTACAATAAATATTCATAACTGAATGCATGTTGTGCATATATAATCTATATTTTTTGCAGAAAAATGCTTCTGATATGCTCCTTAGAACTGCGCAATACAGAATTCAGCAGAGCCTTTAAAAAATCCAAAAAATACGCAAACTATTCATTAATGTTCTCTCTACAACCATTTGTTGAGAAAATGTCTAAATTTTGCACTTTTAAATGATAATTTCAAGTTCAAAACAAGGTATCGTTGTCTTCAAAAAGAGTGTAAAGAACCATGAAAGTAGTTCATGGGTAGCAGCACGTGGTCTATTTTTAGCACAGAGTTTTGTTTTCCAGACCTCTTCTTAATATGGAGGGACATAACAATCTTTAACTGTAGAAGAGAATTACAGTTGCAAAATATTTCAAATAGTATGAACACTTTTAAAAGAGGAAATGTGTTATAGTATGGCTTCAAGTAATCTATTTAGTATTATTATCGAACAGTTGTTAAATAATGTACTTATTCATATCAAAGAAAAAAATCTTAAACTCTTTGTTTCCAGGTAAGGAAAAATGAGCACCATCAAAGTTAAGAAATGTGCCACAGATAACTTATAATATATATCAAAATTTTAATTATCACCAATGAAACACAAAGAAATTAAACACATAAAATCGATATGAATGACCTTGATTTAGTACCTACTAGTACGAGAGATGATCACAAAGTTCGCGAACTATCTCTATATCTACAAAACCACAATTCAGATTAGAAACAAATTTGGTGCACACATAGCCAAACACAAGTTCTATAAAATAGCATAATGACGTCATTATGCAGGTACTTGTGACGAAAAATGGTTGCCTCAGTGGAACTCGTTGAACAAACGACTAAAATATTTATGGTATATCTTAAAAATGCCTTTGAAGTAGCATATAAGAATTTGTTCATAGTTTATTAAGACAAATGACTTCCTACAAATTTAATCAATGATTGGATAGAGCGTTTTAGTGAAGGAAGGCAGATGGTTAAATATGCTACTTGTTATATTGCCCGGTGATATATTAGCAAGTTTGAAAAGGGATATGTGTTTTTTATTAAGCAATATGCTATCAAAGACCTCCAATTTACACTTTGAAAATCAAAAGCCTCCAATTTACACTTTGAAAAATACTAGAATATTTCAACAATAATATACTGTAAATGTATTATATTTGGCGTGTACGATATTTGGCGGAAAATTGAATTATCAACAAGTTGGCGTAGATTTGATTTAGCACTTTTTGAATGTGCGTTACATAAACCTTTATCCACAAAGCATATATTTATCAAGTACATCGCTATATTATAGCGATGTACTTGATTTAGCGGAGGCTGCTTTCCACGAAAGGCGCTAAAAAGAATACACAGCCAAATGTAATACTTTTACAGTAACTATCAAATACCTAAGATATATCGTTTACTTTTTGATCTACCCTCGTATACTCTGTCAAATAAACATTTACAATTTTGATTTGAGCAACATTTTAAAAGGAATGAAATCATTCAGAGTGGGTTAGGAGATTTAATGAATTAAAAAACTTTTTCTATTTGCCCTTTTTGTCAAAATTACAATTTTACAGAGTAAAGAAAAAAAATCAACATTAATAATATTTTATACCAACTTTAAAATGACGTTTGGTGGTCCTCCCAACTCAGGGTAAAATTATTGGGTCCGTATTTATAGGTGAGAAAAAAATTCCTAAAACTTTAAACATATTCGTTGACGGAAAAAAAAACATGTATACATGTAATGGGATGTAAAAAATATTGAGTCGGGCCATTTCTAGGCAGTAGATCGGGAGAGAGGGCAACCAAATATTTTTATAGCAAATTGTCTTATAAGGCTAGTACATGTTCCATCATATACTTAGTAATGCAAAATTTTTGAATCTTTGGCACTGAGTCTATTTTGAAAAACAAAAATAGGATTTTTTTGGGGGGGTATAGCCTCTCATTTTTTTTTTTTGCGTGATAGTCATAGCATATGCAATGGACTTTTCTTTGCAAACATTGTGCTTGCTTATAATTTCAAAGAAACAGCTCAATATATTTTATCAAGCTTCGTATGTTCATTGAGCGAGAGCTTACAATGTTGTCAACATAATGAGACATGATGCGTTTTTATGTCCAAACATTACTCCATACAATGTGTGGTTCATTGCAAACAATCTAGCTATTTATTTGAGGTGCCTGAAGGAAATCCTATAACTGCCTATTTTTTTCTATCTAACTGCTAAACAAAATAGACACATGTACCAACTTTTCGAATGTAAGACATGTAATTACAATTTGTTTTTCATGCACCGCATATTGTTTAACATTTTCAAATTAAATGCTAAGCATCCTCCTTGCAGTGCCCCATTTGAAAATAACTTCTATCGCCACAGAAAAAAGACCCACCGTAATCACATATGTTTAGGACATGTTTTATCTTTTTTCTTGAGTTTTAAAGAAACCAACAAATCATCAAGACTTGTTCCATGAAAAATTAAATATAATCATGGTAATAAACGCATCTATCTACAGCAGATATATGCACATGCCAACCACGTGCTCAGTGGAATGATATTATCGAGGAAACTCGAGCTGTAAACAGAACAGTTTTTCCCGATTTGCTGAAGTAGGGTTAAAATAGCTTTTTTTTTCAGTAATCAGACGATGCAATGCAACAAATAAAAGTAGTAAGTAATATAACCTAATGATTATTACTTAGTAATTTCTTGTCTTTATGTTATTATGGTCGCGTTTATTCTAAAACCAATGCTATTCGAACTCTGTGTGACAGAGGAATGGCGGACGAAATAAACACATGGCCTCAGGAAGACACCCATATGAAAAATCAAATTTTCAAGAATTATGGATAATGACAAGAAAAAAGCGAAACAAATGGTTGTAGCCATATTATCAATGAATCAAACTAACACTATATTCAATGCATTTTTCATCTCATGAATGTTGTAGTTGCGCAGTTCTAACATGATTTATTTCCTCCTAATTAAAACAAAATAAACTTAATTATTAACTGATTTTGGTCTCTAACAGTAGGTAATTAGTGAATTAGCACTTTGAGTAACTTTGGGCTAGTTTAGTAGAGTATTAAGCGCATTCTTGGTATTTCTTATTTTACACCAGACTAGATCCAATATGGCTTGTACATCCCCCTTAAGACCAAAGTCAAAGGTCCAACGTGTTGGTATCAAAGGGAAGATTTTGTCACTTGGAACACGATTTTTTGGGGGTGAATATGTAATATGAAAGCCTGAACTCCAACCGTTTAAAACTTATGCCAAAGGTTAATGTTTTTTATGTCCCCGTCGGGGGTATATAGTTTTTATCGTGTCCGTCTGTCTGTCTGTTTGTTTGTCAACAAAACATTATCCTTGCACATTTCTTTTGATTTAGTAAAGCTATTACTTTCATATCTCACATCTGTATTCCTTGTGATAAGACCTTTTTAGGTCACCTGAGTCACTCAGGTGACCTATTGCTATTCGTTTTCGTCCGTCGTCGTCCGTCGTCCGTCGTGTGTTAACATTTGAACATTTTCAGCTTCTCCTCTGAGACCAATAAACCAATTTCAACCAAATTTGGTATACAGCATCTATTGGTAAAGGGAAACATAAATTGTAAATTTCATGGTCCCTGCCCCCCTGGGGCCTGAGAGGTGGGTCCAAAACCACTAAAATTATTGCAATCTTTAAAAATCTTCTTCTTTACTCCTGGACATCAAGCAGTCAAATTGTTAGCATGAATGTAATAAGCATTGAGTCCTCTACCAAAATTGTGAAATTCATGGCCCCAGGGTCAGGGGTTCTAGTGCTAGGGCGGGGCTATAGAGATTGTATAGTGAAAATGCATTATTTCTTTGAAAATCTTCTTCTCTGCTCCTGGGTATTAAATAAACTAACTAAGTCCATAATTATGATGAGCAATAGTGCGTCTTCTAAAATTGTGAATTTTATGGCCCCAGGGTCGGGAATTCTGGTGTTAGGGCGAGGCCCTATTGATTATATAGTGAAAATACATTAATTCTTTAAAAATCTTCTTCTCTGCTCCTGGGTATTAAATAAACTAACTAAGTACATAGTTATGATGAGCAAGAGTGCGTTTTTCAAAACTGTGAATCTTATGGCCCCAGGGTCAGGGGTTCTGGTGTTAGGGGGGGGCTCTATTGACTATATAGTGGAAATGCATTAATTCTTTGAAAATCTTCTTCTCTGCTCCTGGGTATTAAATAAACTAACTAAGTACATAATTATGATGAGCAATAGTGCTTCTTCTAAAATTGTGAATTTTATGGCCCCAGGGTCGGGAATTCTGGTGTTAGGGCGAGGCTCTATTGATTATATGGTGAAAATACATTAATTCTTTAAAAATCTTCTTCTCTGCTCCTGGGTATTAAATAAACTAACTTAGTACATAGTTATGATGAGCAAGAGTGCGTTTTTCAAAACTGTGAATTTTATGGCCCCTGGGGGTCAGGGGTTATGGTGTAAGGGCGGGGCTCTATTGATTATATAGTGAAAATGCATTAATTCTTTAAAAATCTTCTTCTCTGCTCCTGGGTATTAAATAAACTAACTAAGTACATAATTATGATGAGCCTCTTCTAAAATTGTGAATTTTATGGCCCCAGGGTCGGGAATTCTGGTGTTAGGGCGAGGCTCTATTGATTATATAGTGAAAATGCATTAATTCTTTGAAAATCTTCTTCTCTTCTCCTGGGTATCAATATAAACAAAATTCAGTACATATTTATGATGAGCAAGAGTGCCTCTTCCAAAATTGTGAATTTTATGGCCCCAGGATCAGGGGTTCTGGTGTTAGGGCGGGGCTCTATTGATTATATAGTGAAAATGCATTTATTCTTTGAAAATTTTCTTCTCTGCTCCTGGGTATTAAATAAACTAACTAAGTACATAGTTATGATGAGCAATAGTGCCTCTTGCAAAATTGTGAATTTTATGGCCCCAGGGTCAGGGGTTCTGGTGTTAGGGCAGGGCTCTATTATACAGTGAAAATGTATTAATTTTCTCAAAATCTTCTTCTCTGCTCCTTGGTATTAAATGAACTAACTTAGTATAAAGTTATAATGCCTCAACAAAATTGGTGAATTTCATGGCCCCTGTGTCAGGGGTTTTGCCATTTGGTGTAAAGGGGGGTCTCTTTTGATTATATAGTGAAAATACATTAATTCTTTGACAATCTTTTCCTTTGCTCCTGGGTGTTAAGCTAATGATCCAAGTATATTTATTTAGGATGAAGAAAGGTGCATCTAGCAAAATGGTTAATTTCATACCCCTGGGTCAGGGAGGGGGAGGGTTACATAGTCTGAAAATAAATTAATGCTTTGAAATCTGCTCTTAGGTATTAATCAACCATTTATGATGAAGTAAAATTAAGATGAAATTTCCAAAATTTTGAAATATTTAGCTCCAGGGTCAGTGTTTCTTTGGGGTGGGGTGCACAACGGGTTACAAAGTGGAAGTGCATTTTCTCTTTTTTACTCTGATCTACCTCTGGGTCTTAAGTAAATAGAGTTACAAGCATGCTAAGTTTATAATTATGATAAGCAATTGTTAAGCAATTGTGCCTCTTTCAAATTTGTGAATTTTATGGCCTCTGTTTTAAAACAGAAGCAAATTCGATTGTTGGAAAGTTTTTACATGATACTCAGGTGACCTAAAAGGCCCTTGGGCCTCTTGTTTGTGGGGTACCACCAAATTTAGCCTTCTGACTTTGACCTTGGGGGTTGACACACTGTTACACAAAAATTCCAGACTTTTATTTTGGTCTCAACTTTTGAACGGTAGATACTAATATTTTTTATACTTCACAAATATATTGTTGTTTGTGACAAGACCATTAAATACCAACAACAACTCTGACCTTTTGAACTTGGAGATTTACATACTTTAAAAAACTTTACCTCGGCAACAACGTTTAAAAGGCAAGATCTAGGGCTTTCATACCTCACATATGTAATCCTTGTGACAAACCTTTCATTGCATACCAAAGATCTTGACCCTTTGACATTGTATTTTGACATATTTGTTTTAAGCAAACCTTGACCATAATTTTTGAAGGGTTAGGACTAGGGCTTTCATACTTCGAATATTTAATCCTTCTGACAAGACCTTTCATTGTATTCCAAAAACATTAACCCTTTGACCTTGGATATTGACCTACTTTTTAAAAACTTTAATATTGGCCATAACTTTTGAACGGTTAAGGTTAGGGTTTTCACACTTAGATAGGACTGGGACAACCATGTGTTACATGTATAATCCTTGTAACAAGACCTTCGTTTAGAATCCAACTACTTTGACCTTGGTCCTGGAGTTTGACTTACCTGTCAAAAACTTATCCTTGGCCATAACTTTAGAACAGGTGATGATAGGGCTTTCTTATTTCACAACTGTATTTCTTGTGACCTTACTTTGGGTGCCAACATAATTAATTTGCATTGAAGAAGAGTATAATCTTCGATATGTTGCCATACGGGGGCATCAGTGTTTCACAAACACATCTTATTTTACAGTGGGTCAAACTCCATGGTCAAAATGTTCAAAATGTTTGTACCCATGGAAAGGTCTTATGACGAAAAATACATACATAGCGCTATATTTTATTCTGTTTCAATCGATATTAGATATAAATAAGGGAAAACGTTCAAGTTTTAACGATTGAATTCCTTAAAGGTACTTGGACACAGATTTGAAGTTCATATTTTCTGTATAATATCACGAATTATATATTTCATAGCATTTCACACAAAAATTAATTAAAAATCTTATTTCATTTGAAAGTTATTAAAACTTTAAATTTTTTGGCGGGTTCGATTGACATATCCTTGCACCTTCACAAATTTTCAATTTTTTCTTAATCCTTAGGAAAAGTGGCAATCTTGTTGTGTATTAATGAGAAATATTAAAACTTAAATCCAGAAAAATAATTTTATTCAGAGTAGACATGTTAGAAAGCAAAACTCCTTCACAAGTATCGTCATTCCGTTGTGTACAGAGTTTAGCAAATCGAGCACACTCGTGTTATGTACACAGTTTTTGTAAACAGGGCAGAGCTCTGTTATTGTTTGATGTTTACGATACACTGGGTGTGTTCAATCGCCAAAGTCTTCTCACCAAAACTGCACGGACTGACAATATATTGTGTGTATGTTTTGCTTTCGAACATGTCTACTCTGAATTCTCTGGATTGTAGTATTAATATTTTTCATTAATACACAAGATTGCCACTTTTCCTAAGGATTAAGAATAAATTTAAAATTTGTGAAAGTGCAAGGATGTGTCAATCAAACCCGCCAAAAAAATTAAAATTTTAATAACTTTGAAATGTAATAAGATTTTTAATTAATTTTTGTGTGAAATGCTATTAAGATAAATAAGTTGTAATATTAAAGAGAAAATATGAACTTCAAATCTGTGTCCAAGTACCTTTAACGTAGCCATTTGTCTATTACCTAATGCAAACTTTCCCCTTAACTTTCTTTTACAGTTTATGTTGAAAAAAGACCGAAAAGGAAACCAAAACTAGATCTCAATAAAAAAAGCATTTTCAATATCAGCTGTGATTGGTTATCAAACCAGAAAAAAAAGTAAGACCAACTTTAAATGTTTACCGAAGGCGCATACTGAAAACAATATGACAATGTAGTAAAGTGAAGCTGGAAAATACTGCAAAAGTATTGTGCTCTCTCTCTCTCAATCTTTTGTAGAAGGACAATTGACTGAGTTGAAAATCAATTCGATATCTCTGTTAAAGCATAAAAACATAATCTTTATTATGTCATGATAAAAACCCTGATAGTTTAAAGTACTTTGTAAAAGAGACAAATCCACGAATATCGACTTCACTGCCCTTGTACATTTATTTCTCTATTAAGTCTCAGGACTAAAATTTGTTTATCTCGAGATTTGTATACCCAACAGTCTTTATCTATTTGAATCATTTTTTTTTAAAATGTCGCTAAGATGTGTTTTGCATAAATGCAATTAATGTATTACATTTCACATAATGGGTATTTTAGTTAAAGATTCAGAGATATAGTAGGGTTTATCAAATATTTTTAAAGAATGTAGTTTCTTAAGAATCTGATATCTCACATAAAAACATATAATTCAAATTCTTTTGCAACACACACTCCCCCATACACGAGAGAGAGAGAGAGAGAGAGAGAGAGAGAGAGAGAGAGAGAGAGAGAGAGATTCATTCCTTGTCAATACCTTTTAAGAATTGGCATAAAAAATATTCAGTGAGACCCAAAAGGTGTATTGCCAGCAATCTATACCTTTTCTTTATAGTGATTTTTTTTCTTATCAGATACTATATTTTTACTTCTTTATTAAGTCTCTTAGCAATGTTGTGGGATATTATAATTTGAAGTCCGAATTTTCTTGAATATTAAATCAACATTAAAATGTCAAAGAATTCTCTGCTTGAGGGAAGAAAACAAACAATCTTATTCACAGTTTTCTACGTTATCACAGTGAGGTAAGAATAGCCGCGCCTAGGAACACTCCAAACAAATATATAATCGAACTGTTTATCGGATATGTATCCCCTGAGAATTTACAAGCTGAGAGATGTAAATACTGAAAGGTCGATACATGAATGCTATCTTGCTAAAGGTGAACATATTAGTTTTATACTACCTTAAACTTTGTTTATAATTTTCAATAATATCAAAAAAGAAAAACTAGGACCGCACAATTAATGGATAAACTCACTTGTGAGTGACTATAGATAAACCATTTTCAATCTCCTTTTACAATACATGTATATGGATAAATTCGTACAAATATCTTTATTCTATTCTTTTATTATACAAACAGTAGTTATCCGGGATTTGCTAAAAAACCTCATTTTAACTTGTTGCAACCCACGTGTAGGTGTTTTAAGTAATTCCTGCACAATAAGTATTTTTTGCTAAATAATGATTGTAATAAACGTCAAAATAATAACAACAGATAAAAATTCATTTGCAAAGTTTATTCTACATAATCCATTCTAGAAAAACACACGGGAAATGTTTACATCAATTAACATTTAGATAATTTATATGGACGGTATATCGCTATGAAGAATTTGATTCTTTGCATTAGAAGTAATTTAGAGAACATAACGTGTTGAATGTTTGGTTCTCAAACATAAAATCTGGTGTTATATCGAGAGAACTCGCCATTTGGTGCAAAGGCCAGAATATTGACAAAGATCTGATGTTGGGAGGCACCTGGTGTCCATTCAAACTGTACCTCTTCTGCGAGAGTGGATATGGGTGATTGAAGATCGGAACTTCCAGCGCTGGAACCCACCGAAACTTGATAGACCGTGGCACCATATTGTGAGGGTACAAAAACGTTGTTCCATCGTATTGAAACATACCCACCAGTTGACATAAAAGATGCTGACTCATCTATGGAATACAAACTTGGGTAAATACCGGTATACAGAATTTAAAAGAAACTCATCAAAATGATTAAAGATTACACGTATATAAATTACCCTCTAAGCCTGGTGATCTGTTGTCCAGAACGATAGAAGAATTCAATATTTGACTTCGGTATCCACCGTCATTTGCTGCGCGAACGTCAGCATCAATGATGTCTCCTGCTTTTGAATTCTGTATTACGCGTGTTGCACAATTCCTTAAACCAACCGAATTCCATGGCGCAATGACTTTTCCATTCTTTCGTACCCGGGTTTCAAAGGTGGATATTCCACCTTCATCTTGAAATCCTTTCCAGAAAAAGTCGATATTTGTCAAGTTTTCTTGCAATGGAATTGCAGACTCTTTTCTCAAAAATGTATTACGGTTATTGGGATAAAATGAGAGGGTTGCACTTTCGATCTGTGGTGATTTATGGTAAATTTTGAAAGGTCCTGCTATCTCTTCGGCTTTAAGCTGGACGTTGTTTATGCACTGAACAGTAACATATATTGTCGTTCCATGGGGGAATGACAAGTTTGACAATTTACATTTTCTGTTATCAGGACTAGTTTGCCAACGTCCCGATAATGCAGAAGCTTGGGAATGACCTGAAACAGAATAAAACTAGCATTTGATATTAAAAATTACTTTGTATCATCAGCTCATTTACTAAGTATAGATATAAATACATACCAACAGAACAATAACAAGATAAAAGTTCTGTTTCCTCCTCTGTTACATTCCATGTCACTGTAACTTCAGTGTGTTTTCTGATCGTCCGAGTCGGCTCTCCAGGTATGATGGTTGTATCATTTTCTGCAGCACCTTGATCAGTGTCGTTAAGAAAATCCAAATCCTGTCCTATTGCAAAGTTTCGAACATCGACATTCAAAATTTTCAAAATAGGAGCACTGTGATCTAATGTTATTTCACTTTGAAACATTGACGATAAATCAGCATAGTTTCTTGCAATAGCTGTTAGATAGATTCGACTGCCGTGTGGAGCATCCGTATGTATTAAACCGTGGTTGGATTTTGAGAAAGGAGACAATAATCTCACTTGATATCCTCCTCTGGTTGTTCCAGCTCCAACTAAAACGTTTTCAACACCACTTTCCGGATCGAAGATGAAACTGCAGACGGACAATGTTCCAGGGTTTATTTGACGTACAGTTAATGGATTTGTACTGACTTCAGACAAACTACAATGTTGAAGACGTACTGAAATACTTTCATCAGGTATATCCTTTCGACTTGCAACTTTAAATCTTAAGTTGACTGGACCATCATTGCTGGACAAGAACTCGTGTTCTGCGGAAGTACTTGAATCAGCAGTTTGTGACGTGTACAGTAGCATTGTTTTATTTCCAATATGCAACTTGAGGGTACTAAATTGTAACCTACCAGGTAACTTGATTAAAATTTTGTAAATTTCATTCTTTGTAGCAGTAAAAACGCCATTCACCATCTTTTTCTTCATGTTATAAATGTCTGTATTATTCGTAATTGAGGACACTTGAAATTCAATTTTTTCAAACGATTTGCACTTTATTCCGACAGGTGGAGTGTTATCTATTTTTATTGGGTTTGAATTTACATATTGAGAATGATGATCCATTGCATCGAATGCTCGAACCCGAGTGTGATAACTTCTGTTGTGCTGCAGACTTATGTTATTGAATGTGTAGAAAGTTGAAATGGAGGCTGATTTATCTCTCTTAATTACTGTTCCATCATCTTCTTCATAAACACCTACCTCATAGAGTTTAATCGACGACTGATGATCTTCAAAGCCATGCCATGATGTTGCAAGAGAAGAGTTTGAAGACTGATGTAAAATGTTTCGAAAATGTTTGGTGTTATATACAATACCAGATACAGGGTTATCAACATCAAGAAGTATTCCATCTGACACTGCCGCGGTTTCCAGTCCCATATTATTCTTCGCAAAAATTGTGAAATAATAAGTAGTTCCTGCTATCATTGTTTGATTAACGTCTAAAGAAGTAGATAGATGGACAGATCTTCGTGATATAAAGTCGTCACCTAATATTAAAAAAAGAACATACATGTATTGAGATCGATAAAAAGTAAACTATAAGTACATATAATGAAATATAGAAGAAGAATAAAGATGTACCATAAGGTCTTGTTCCACCACTTATATCATAGTTTACTATGTGTCCCTGTCCTTCCGAGAATAGTTTTTGCCAACATACTTTAAACAGTCTTAAAGTACCAATGAAATCGACATCATTTCTGCAGTCATCTACTGATTCAATCACAGCTCGACCAAGTCTTACCTGTGGAGGAGTAAAATCAATCAAAAGAGAGTTTGATGTGAATATAGCAAACTCAGACTCGGAGACCCACGCTCTTATATAGAGAATATAGTGCTGTCCGTGTTGCAGTCTTTTGTGGGATGGCAAACAATACACTAATTCTTGACTGATGCCATTATCATGCCATATACTTTCTGTAGCTGCGTCAAATATTCCACTACCTGGACTTTCCCCCTTTTCACCAAGACTCCATTCATACCGCATCACTGTACTTATCGATCCTGCTTCTTTCTCCCAAAATCCTGATATACAAGAGGAACTGGCAGACATTGTTGAGGGTATTGGCGATAACCCAAAATGAACCAGTACATTAAGACTTGCACTGGAAACATTTTGTAATTCTGTGCAAGGTGCATTAATTTTATTTAAACACTTTTTACCTATTACTGCACAGGTACAGTCGTTATTGCAGTAATGAGAGACACAGGAATAACGCTGAATTGAGAGGTGTCCCTGTGTATTATTTTTATTGTTAGACACAAGGACAACAGACACCTTTCCAGTTTTACTTTTCAGGCCTACATTATTTGTTCCAGTGACTGATAATATGATAACGTCATTGCTGTAAAGTTTGTTTGATAAGTTCAATGACAACACTTGCTGAGTTCTGTTGCTGTGCTGCACAGAAATCAAACCATTTGATAGTTCATTCCCAGAGTATGATTTACTAACACTTATAGTGTATTTCTGAAGTCCTGATTCATTATCCACAAAACCATACCATGCTAGGTGAATTGTAGTAGTCGTCCCATTATTGTGCCATAACAATGGGTTCATGAATCCCCCAAGTGACGGCGGAGAGGAGTCAATAAGAAGTGTACTTGATGTTGCAAATGTGCAAAGACCAGCGCCATTACAGCTAGTTACCTTAGCAACATAGGAATCCCCATCTCTAAGTAAGGTTTCATTAGAAGACTTAATT